CTGGGGTTTATGCCTAGGGTCAGATTTGGGTACATGTATAGGTATGTGTCAGCTGTGCTAGCTATTGGATATATTTAGACTAATTGAGTTCATTGCCAGAACAATTGAATGGGGGGGGGCGGAAGGCATGGAGGGAAATCATGGATGCCAGGGACAATGGAGGAGGAAGATGGGACATGGCAGAGGGTGAGGGATGGGGAATCAGGGATGGCAAGACAAAGGGCAAGGTATGCAGGATGTACGAATTGGAAAATTACTTGCTGAGAACATGTATGTTGATGTGCTTGATTGAACCAATGCACAGTGTATTTTGGATGGAAAATTCATTGGTGTGTTGTGATGGTGTATAGTGAATTAAGGTAGAAAATAAAAATTAAAAAAAAAGATATATGTGATTAAATATAATATAAAAAAATAACATCTCAGAACCTCTAAGAAATTACATGTTAACCTGGTGGCTATTGTGATGACCCCTGGCTCTAATGATTGTATGTGGGTCTCAGTAACCAATAGGGCAGTGAGCTCACTGAGCTCATCTCAGAGTCCCCATGGACAGAGATGAGGACAAACAGAAAGGAGTCGGTGACACCAGTGACTGATCACTGAGAACACTGGCGAGGTGACCTCCCATGGCCTCAGGGCCCATGGTCTCAATCACAGCCTCAGAGCTTCAACTGCCTGACTACCCTGAGTATTTCTAAGAAAGTAGCCCCTGATCATGCCTAAGACAGACCAACAGCTCCTCTTCAACTTGAGCCAATTCTGCTTTCTCATTCCTTGGTTACCCTCTATTCATGAGTAACCCCTGCATGCTGGGAGTTAATCATGACTACTGTGCAGTGGAGGAAACTGAGGCCCACAGAGGGCAGTGGCTGGATCTGCAGCTGCGCAGTAGGTCCATGTGCAGGTGACGGGTGAGTCATCTTTCACTTCCACAGCTATGCATCTCATTAAGCCATGAGGAGATTTTCTATTTTTCTTCTTTAATTTTTTCTGGTGGCCAAATGGACTTGCTTAAGACACACACACACACACACAGAGAGAGAGAAAGTGAGAAAGCAAGAAAGCATACCCCTCACCCCCTATGGGGCATGGTCACACTGTAATCCCTTCTCCTCCATTTCTTCCTCCTTTCAGGATTTTGTGCACACAGACATGTTGTTTCTTAATCTGCTGGATCCCGGACTTAAACTAGATGGTTGGCCAGGTGGAGTCCAGCCACCTTAACCACCAGGCCAGGGCTTGCACCATGTGGAGATTTTTCTGCTGCCTCCTTCTTTGAGGATGCCTCCTTCTTTGAGGAGAACTCCTGGCCCGCATCCCCCCAAATCTGTAGGGCTGGTACACCTGCTCCCTGAGAATTAGGATTTCTGGACTCAGCATTCATGCCCTAGGAAGAGACTAGGGTAGGCAGAGCTGGCAGCTGGCTGGGATCTGGCTAGGGGTCAGTGACTTTTTCTTACTCTCAGGTTCTGTTGGAACTATTCCCAGTGCCTTCAAGATCCAGGCCTGTGCCCTCAGGATGGCCACACTGTAGTCCAAACTGCCCTGGGGTCTAGGCCACACAGCCAAAGCATCTTTGGAGAAAATCCTTATAATGCAACCTTTTCATGAGAAAAAAAAAAGGTGAAAAATATGAGAAACTCTTGGGACCAGCAGATGGTGTAATGATTATGTGGCTGGACACACACATAGTCAACTGCAGTTCTAGTCTGGGGCCTGGCAGCTTAAAACTCATGCCGGCTATGTGTGCATACATGCCCAAAATCCCAAGAGGAGAATGGAGAAGGGACTGAGGTGTGGCCATCCTCCCTGGGGGATGATTTCTCACTTTCTGTCTGTCTGTCTCTCTCTCTCTCTGGCGAGCACACATGCCCTATAGCAAAAATCTCTCTCAAAAAAATATTAACCATAGAAATGGGCTTCTGGTAGAAGAAAGGAAAAGAGAAAGAGGAGATAAAGTCCATCTATAAAGATCCTGAACAGCACTAAGACCTGGGTCCTTTAGGAGGAGGGAGCAGAGCTGATCCTAGGCTTCCCCTTCACCTGTCCACATGCAGAAAGGGACCTCCCCATGGACACTCAGTCTCCAGGTTCACCCACTGACGCCTGTGATTTGACCACTCTCCCAGGAATGTTTAAATCTCTGTTCTTCTGTCTTTTCTAAGGCCCTCTCTGTCTTGGAGATGACCTGCCCCCTGTTGGTGAAGGCAGATATCATTGTACCATGGGCAGTCTATGGGTGAGCAGTGCCTGGTGACACCAAGACATCACCATGGGATTATAAGTTTCCTTTACTGGAAGGAAAAGGTCACTCTGACTTACCTGGGAAGCTCAAGTTTGGACCTGGCATCCTGGACTTCATACATCCAGAAAAGGAAGAGAAGAGGTTGTGGGATGTTGGCAGATGTCACCTAGGCTGAGAGCTGAGGAAAGAGAGCAGAGACCACATTGAGATGAGGATTCTAGGCCAAGTAACAAGGAAGAGGAAGTAAGGAAGACCAAGAGACCCCTGTAAAGGGCAGTGCTCAGGGCTTGGGATCCGACAGGTTGCGTGGAGGTTGAAGTGCTGGATACCACATGGCCAGCTTCATGGTTCAATTCCCAGACTCGGCAGCCTGATATTCACACCACATGTGGGTGCATGCCCCAAATCCTGAGTGTTGAGGAAAATCACCTGACTGGGTGCGTGGGGGTGGGGGGTGATTTCTTACTTTGTCTCTCTCTGGTGAGCACACAAGACCTATAACAAAAACTTAAAAAAAAAAAAAAAAGGACAGTGCTCAGGGCTGATAAGAACACAAAAAGCCCACAGGGTCTTAGTTTTCTCATCTGGAAACAGGTGATAAAAATAGAATTTACTGGGGCTGGTGGGTGGTGTGGTAGTTAGAGGTGCTGGACTCCACATGGCCAACCGTGGTTTGAGTCCTAAACCTGGCAGCTTGCTTTCTCACTTTCTCTCTCTCTCTTTGTCCCTATCTGGTCAAATTTAAATAAATAAATACAAGTTTAAAAATAAAATCTTTTTTTTTAAAAAAATAGAATTTACTCTTGGAGTTGTGAGAACAGCATTATTCGGGCAAAGTGATCAGCTGGTGCTCGACATAGAGTAAGTGCTTACCATATTGTTACTGAATTACTTCTGTTTCATGCTAATTGACTGTTGTCATTTTATTCTCCCCATGGATGGGTACCTTGCTGGATGGGCTATTGCTGGCTTGAATACAAAGGAAGGGGCACAAGTCAAGAACTGTGGGCAGCCTCAAGAACCTGGAAAAAGCAAGGGAACAAATGCTCCACTAGAGCCTGCTGAAGGAACACAGCCCTGCCAGTCCATGAGCTTGCTCTCCGGAACTGTAAGATAATGAATTGTGTTGTTTTGAGCCAAGTTTGCTGTCCATTTGTCACATCACATCAGAAAAAACTCAGGTGGGAACATGACTTCTCCCTCCTCCTTCCTTCCCGGACCCCCAGTTGTGTCTGAAACATCTAATCCCATCACATATAAGATGGTGCTCCCACGGTGGTGGCCATCAGTTAAAGGGGGAGACTGAGGAGGGTGCAAGTCACCTGGGGAGTGTGTGTTGGAGTCCAGTGCCTCTCAAGGGTACAGATCAGGCAGGGGTCTGGGCACGTAGAGGTTCCCCTGCATGTTACCCACCTTTACAATCATACATACACTGGAGGAGTCACAGTGACTGTAAGAATTCCAGAGACAGGTGACAATGGTTGATGTGGCCTTGGTCTTGTTCTGTACCAGGTGCTACTCTCAGTGACTGCTGTGTCAGTGATAGAACCCTGTGAGGAAGGAAAATTATTACCCTTGAAGACAGATGAGCAAATGAAGACTCGGAGAGCTTATGTCACTTGCCCATGGCATGACATTCAGTACGGGGCTGTGTCACTGCAGAACCCCTGCTCTTACACACCCTGCTATACTGCCTCCACTAATAGATCAGCTGAATGTGGGTACAGGCCAAAGGCATTCCATATGCTTTCCCAAAGCCCACAACTACCCTGGCTGGAGAATATTTTATACAAATGAAGAAACTAGGAGAGGATAGATGAGTGACATGTTCAAGGTCACACAGTTGGAAAATGGCAGAGCCAGCACTAGAACCGAAGTTGACCTGATCCCAAACCACATTTGCTTTCTCCACTTCATCCCACTAACTCCCAGGAGGTGATTAAACTGTCCTTAGAAATACCCTTGCTTGGGAACCAGCAGTTAGCGTAATGGCTTTGTCGCTGGACTCCCACGTAGTCGATCGCGGTTCGCGTCCTGGACCCGGTGGCTTAAAACTCACGCCGGGCGCGTGTGAGTGCGTGCCCAAGATCCCGAGAGGAGAATGGAGGAGAAGGGATTGCGGCGTGACCATCCCCCCTGGGGGGTGATTTCTCGCTTTCTGTCTCTCTGTCTCTGTCTGGCGAGTGCACACGCCCTATAGCAAAAAGCTCTCCAAAAAAAAAAAAAAGAAAGAAATACCCTTGCTTGAGAAATTAGGTGCAGAGTGGGAATGGATATGAGTGCTTAAAGCACACAAGAACCCCAAATGTCTGAGGCAGAGTAGAGGAACTGCTGGAACTTGTAGGGATCATGGAGGGAGGCAGGCAGGGCTGGGGCTGGAGAAACATCATATCAGCTAAGAGCCAGAGGAGGAGGGTGATGATTCTCATTCTGTTGGGAACAAAAGCACACCAAAATAGTGCCCAGGGAGGGAGATCTAAGGGAAAGGATGATAATGTATTTTATTTTTTACTTGTTTTAAATTCAATTATATAGCTCAATCAATCAGTTTTGGGACAGTAGTTGGCATAATGGCTGTGTCGCTGGACTCCCATGTAGCTGACCACGGTTCAAGTCCCGGATCCAGTGACTTAAACTCACGCTGGGTGTGTGTACATGTATGCCCAAGATCCTGAGAGGAGACTGGAGGAGAAGCGATTGCAGCATGGCCGTCCTCCCCTGGGGGGTGATTTCTCACTTTCTGTCTCTCTCTTTCTGGTGAGTACATGCACCCTATAGCAAAAACCTCTCCAAAAAAGAAAAATCAATCAGTTTTTATGGAGTTATCTCCATTTTTAAAAGAAATTCAACTAGGGAACCAGCAGTTAGCATAATGGCTGTCGCTGGACTCCCATGTAGTCGACCGCAGTTTGCGTCCCAGACCCTGTGGCTTAGAACTCAGGCTGGGCGTGTGTGCGTGCGTGCCCAAGATCTCGAGAGGAGAATGAAGGAGAAGGGATTGCGGTGTGACCATCCCCCCTGGGGGGTGATTTCTCGCTTTCTGTCTCTGTCTCTCTCTCTGTCTCTTTGGTGAGCGCACGCACCCTATAGCGAAAACCTCTCCAAAAAAAAAAAAAAAAAGAAATTCAACTATAAAAAGTTACCCAAAGCATCATTAACATTTCTTGCTGACTCAAAGAACATGTGCTTACAAAACAGCTGTTTCTTTAAAGGAAAAGATATCATTTTTCCATAATTGTTTATTCTGAAATGATGTCTTACGACAGAGTTGCAAGATATTTTATCTTTCCCTGAGCCACTGGAGGGTAAGATGCTGAGGTGATGCTGTCACTCCCTACAACCAAAGACATTCTCCTATATAGCCACAATACTACCATCAAAATCGGGAAATTTCCATTGATACAATACAGCTAGCTATCTGATCCTCAGACCCATTGAAATTGGCCTATTTCCCTTATAACACCCTTGATATGAATCATGTGTTGCATTTGGTTACCATATCTATTTAGTGTCCTTCAATCTGGAATAGTCCCTTCATCTTTCCTGACTTCTATGATCTTGGCACTCTGGAAGTTTCGCTCTGTCCCATATGTCTTCATGATGAAGTACAGGTGATGCATCTTTGGCCAGAGTTTCGCAGTGATGCACTATTCTGGCTGTTTCCTATCATTATTTATATCTGTGCCATTTCCAATGATGCTCACTTAGGTCACTTCATTAAAGCAGTATCTGCCTATAAAGCTATGCTTTTCCCATTTGTGATTAAGAAATACTTTGTAGGGAGGTTCTTTGAAATGGTTTATATATTCAATTCTTTATCATACTTGGGATTGATTCATTTAATCATCTGTATCAATACATTCTCAGGGTTTCCTGTTTTATTCAATGGGCTATAACTCATTACTATCATTAATTACTTTTTTTTTTTTGGAGGTTTTTTTTTTTTTTTTTTTTGTTTGTTTTTTTTGTTTTTTTTGTTTTTTTTGCTATAGGGCGCGTGCGCTTGCCAGACAGACAGAGAGACAGAAAGCAAGAAATCACCCCCCAGGGGGGATGGCCACACCGCAATCCCTTCTCCTCCGATCTCCTCTCGGGATTTTGGGCACGCACGCACACGCACCCGGCGTGAGTTTTAAGCCACCAGGTCCAGGATGCAAACCACGGTCGACTACATGGGAGTCCAGTGACATAGCCATTACGCTAACTGCTGGTCCCATCATTAATTACTTTGATGTTAAAATAGCCCCCAGTCTGGCCAGCAGGAGCCTCTTCAACTAGTTTCTGTGTCCTCCTTTCATATCCCCATCATTTCTTGGAGATTCCCTTATTACTGGCACCATAAGTCAAGCCAGGATCATTTTATCCTTTCCCTCTTCCAATCCTGAAACCAACCATTTCTCAAAGGAGTCCTGGCTCCCTTTAGTGGAGTATGACATTTAGAAGCCAAAATCTGGGGGCTAGGTGTGCTTATTGCTACTAGGTGTTGCTTTTTCAGTAACTTTGAAATATATGTATATACACACATGTACACATGTACATCCACATCCAGCAATCTCGCCATATACACATATATACTGAAAATCATGAGTTTACTTGAAGATCTTCAATTCCACTACATAATTTCCAGGTTTGATCTAGTTTTCTTTCTTTCATATTTTAAACTCCCTTTTCCAAAGATGAGAGACCTAGGTCCTGTTATCCTTAAATAAATTTACTGTTGATGAATCCAATATATAAGCCATCCCTCCCTCACACAGGCCCTTCCTCATGTGCTATGCTGTTCCTCCCTTACCTTTGACTTCCACACCCCACACCAGCTTGAATCCTAAGCCAGTTAGTTACCTGCCTCCATCTATCTCCCAGAGACATCCCATCTTCCCACAGAGATATCCTCCATACCACATTAGGCTCTGACAATCACCTGGGTGTTCCTGTGTATGGGTGTCCCTCACTGTCCCTGGGCTTTCACTCTCCAAGTTGGGATGCCAAACAAACATCTGCTTACCTTGCTCTGCCTCACCTAACAGCTTTAACTGAATTTCTCAGGCGCAAAAGATGAGGGGAAGGGAAAGAAAGGTCACAGAAATGGAAAGGATGACTATATCTAAAAGGATCAATTTATTAAGGTGAATTAGGCAATGAAGCCAATGTGCTTTTCCTAATTGTCTCCCATCTTTCTCCTTCTGCTTCTCTCCTTCACCCCATTCTCAATCCTAAAGTCCTGCCCTCCACCAAATGTAGAGATGTTGTGATGACTATGGTTCTGTATTGTAATTTATAATTCATGCGTACTAGTTAGCTGACATTCGGTATGGACAGCATCATCTCTATAGCTGTGAAGCTGTGAACTCTGTCTCTCTCATGCAAAAGAAAGTCACTCCTCTTCCAGAAGTTCCAGGTGTGACCAGGAAAGCAGGCTCAGGACACTTCTTTCAGCCTTAGGTCCTTCATCTGTAACATGGGAATAACCCCATCTCACTCACAAGTTGTGGGAGAAACAGAGATGGGGACACCAGGCACCTTTCAATGAATGCTATATGCTGAAAACTGGGATGAAGTGTTATAGATTATCACAGGACTCCTTGATATACAGGTACCAATGGAGCAATTCCCTAACTCAGGGCTATTGTGTGTGCTGTTCCTTTTGCCTGCAATACTTTTCCTCCAGTGCTATGGGGTTTGCATGTGTTTCCCCAAATTCATGTGTTGAAATCGGGACGTATTAAGAAGGTATTAAAAGGAAATTTAATTTGGCTATAGATTTATGAGGTGGAACCTTTAGGAGGTGATTAGGGCTGGATAATGTTATTAGGGTCTCCTCCCCCTGATCTGAATACTGGTGGGTTTATAAGGAGAGAGAATTAGGTAAGAGCAGAGATACACAGACACAGGCATACTCTGCTTTAGCTCTCATTCGATGCTCTGTGCTATCTTAGAACTGTAGGGTCCACACCAGCAAGACCTTTACCAGATGCAGTCCCTGGACCTGGAACCTCCAAACTGTGAGCTGAATAATAAACTGCTATTCTATTTTTAAAAATTATTTATTTTATTTGTTTATTATTACTATTCAATTTGACCAGAGAGAGAGATGATATACAGGTACCAATGGAGCAATTCCCTAACTCAGGGCTATTGTGTGTGCTGTTCCTTTTGCCTGCAATACTTTTCCTCCAGTGCTATGGGGTTTGCATGTGTTTCCCCAAATTCATGTGTTGAAATCGGGACGTATTAAGAAGGTATTAAAAGGAAATTTAATTTGGCTATAGATTTATGAGGTGGAACCTTTAGGAGGTGATTAGGGCTGGATAATGTTATTAGGGTCTCCTCCCCCTGATCTGAATACTGGTGGGTTTATAAGGAGAGAGAATTAGGTAAGAGCAGAGATACACAGACACAGGCATACTCTGCTTTAGCTCTCATTCGATGCTCTGTGCTATCTTAGAACTGTAGGGTCCACACCAGCAAGACCTTTACCAGATGCAGTCCCTGGACCTGGAACCTCCAAACTGTGAGCTGAATAATAAACTGCTATTCTATTTTTAAAAAT